AGCAACGGCAGCGGCAACGGCGACAGAGGCAACAGCAGCAGCAGCAGCAGCAACAGAGGCACCAGCAGAAAGACACACCACCTCCGGAAGAAGCGAAGACGCCCTTAAACTTGTGGGGGGCCTCTAATCCCCTGCAATGTACATACGCTGCATCAGCAGCAGCAGCAGCAGCAACAGCAGCAGCAGCAACAGCAGCAGCGGGAGGGCACTGGCCTTTGGGTTCGCAACAACAACAACAACAGCAGCAGCAGCAGCAGCAAATCGGCATGTGCGTGCTGCTGCTCCTAGCTGACCTGTCTGTACACCCGCTGGTGGAGTCTCCCTTTTGCTTCTCTATTGTAATGACGTCGCGGCGGAAGGCGCTGCCAGAGCAGCAGCAGCAGCTGCTGCAGCAGCAGTTGCTGCAGCAGCAGCAGCAGCAGCAGAAACACTGTGAGTGCCGCATTGAGGCTTTTCTGTCTCCTGTGCTGCTGCTGTTGACTGCGGACGACGCTGCTGCGTTGCGTGAAGTTGCTGGCAGCTACTCAGCAGCATCTGCTGCTGCAGCAAGAGCAGCAGCGAATGCTGCTGCGTCAGCTGCTGCAGCAAGGGCAGCAGCAACTGCTGCTGCTTCTGCTGCTGGGCCCGTCCGCTGTAGCTGCAGGATAAGGGGCTTTATGCGGAGACGCCGTAACAAAACTTCCTCTCAACGGCTGCACGCTGCAGCAGCAGCAGCAGCAGCAGCAGAAGAAGCCTCAGCAGCAGCAACAGAAGCAGCAGCAGCAGCAACACCAGCAGCATCAGGACGCCCATCATCTTGCACTGAAGACGGTGAAAGTGTTGCTGGTAGAACCACAACAACAACAACAGCAGCAGCGGCAGCAGCAGCAGCAGCAGCTGCTGCTGCTGCTGCTTCTGACGAGCAGCAGTCTGCTTCACGGTGGAGCTACGCTCCTCCTCTTACCCCTACTGACAATAGGGGGCCCCTGGGGGCCCCCCTAAGAGGGTGCATAACTTGGCGAGTGTCAGTGGAGGCGGACGCGCTGCAGCTTACAGCAGCAGCAGCGCAGCAGCTGCTGCTGTTCACGCGTCTCTGCTGCAGCGATGTTGCTGCGCAAGCTCTGAGGTCTTCAAACAGCCCCACAGACACAGTTGTCTCCTTGCAGATTAAACAGGTTAGAGAAAACAGAATCCTGCTGCTGCTGCTGCTAGTGCTGCTGCTGCTGCTGCTGCTGCTGCTAGTGCTGCAGGTTGAAGAGACAGAGAGAAAATGTATTTGTATTAAGTCTGCGCGTTGTCTACGCTACTGCTGCTGTTGCTGCTGTTGCTGCTGCTGCTGCTGCTCAGGTGTCTATGCAGGTGACGGAGACTCGGGAGGATGCGGTATTTGGGAGTTGCGTCTTGCAGCAGCAGCAGCAGCAGCAGCAGCGGCAGCTGTGTGGCCGTTGGCTGTACCACCACAGCCCTTCTCAGCAACAGCAGCAGCAGCAGCAGGCTTGCATTGTGCTGCCTCTGCTGTCTCCTGTGTCTGTTGCTGCTGCTGCTTACCCCTGCCGCTCTCCGTCCCCTTCTATCATTCTGCGCTTTGATAGTCAGGCAGAGATAACAGCAGACCCCAGACATCTTCGTTCGCTTAGCTGCCTCGCCCCTCAGTTTGCTGCTGCTCTCAGCAGCAGCAGCAGCAGCAGCAGCAGCAGGAGGGTGTATGAGGTGCTGTATGTTCGCCCGTTCTTATCTGCTGAAGCTCTGCGTCTTCTCTTTGCAGTGTCTCCCTTCACTCCTCAGCTGCCTATACACTTCAACTACCGCCGCACCTTTTGCTTCTCTCCTCATATCTCAGGCTGGGCTGCAGCATATAGAGGAGCCTTCGCGCCTGCAGCAGCAGCAGCAGCTGCAGCAGAGGCGGCAGAAGCACTGAGACACAAGCAGCAGCAGCAGCAGCAGCAGCAGCACCGGCGGCGTATGCATGCATGCAGCACCGATCTGCAGCAGATTGGCAGCTCTGTTAGCGAGGCGGATGAATTGTTAGCTGCAGACATCGCCTCCTCCTCTGCAACGGCAGCAGCAGCTGCAGCAGCAGCAGCAGCAGCAGCAGGAGGCTGCACTCGAACTGCTTCTGCTGCTTCTGTATCCAGCTTTGCTGCTGAAGAGAAAATACAAACAGCGCGGCTCTCCCCGTACACCGCCGGCATCTTGTACGATTTAAGACAGCTGCCGAGTTACTGTCTCTCTTCAGTCAGGGAGGTACGCCTTGCTGCTGCTGCTGCTGCTGCTGCTGTTATTGCTGCTGCTGTTATTGCTGCTGCTGTTAATGCCGCTGCTGTTAATGCTGCTGCTGCTTACGCTGTTCTGCTTTCTCCTGTTACTCCTTCGCTCGCGCGGCAGCATGTAGGGATCGCACCAACCGCCTCCTCCTCAGCAGCAGCAGCAACAGCAACAGCAGCAACAGCAGCAGTTGCAGCATAGTGCGTGTTTGTGGTGTTGCTGGGTTTGCTGCAGAATTGTCTGTGGCTGCGCAACAGCAGCTCGCATGCACTCGCTTTTCGTGCTGTCAGCAGCAAAGGAGGAGGCAGCAGCAGCTGGCAGACGGGGGTGCTGCCTCCGTCCTGGGAGGCGTTGCTGCTGCAGCAGCAGCAGCAGCTGTCTATACACCTGGCTGTTCTCAATCCTTCTCAGCCTCTTGTCTTCCCTCCTGCGCATACTTCTCCTCTGTTTACTGACTGCGATCCCTTACTAGCTCACCTGCAGCAACAGCAGCAGCAGCAACAGCAGCAGCAGCAGCTGCTGCTGCAGCACCAGCAGCTGCAGCAGCAAGAGGAGGAAGAGCAGGAGGAGGGCAGCTGTGAGGTAATGGGCGGCCCCATCGGCCGTAGATGCTCCTTTATAAAAGCAAAAGATATCTTAGAAGAAGGTGCAGCAGCAGGAGGGTTAATAGTTGTGCTGCAGAGACAGAAAGGAGACAGCAGCGTAGACATCTGCTGCCCGCTCAACGTTCGCAGTCTTCTTCATCTGCCTGTTGAACTCAACTTCCTAGCGGAGAGAGACCCTGCAGCGGTAAGACATGCAGCAGCAGCAGCAGCAGCAGCAGCAGCAGCAACAGCAGCAACAGCAGCAGCAGTAGTAGTAGCAGCAGCAGGAAGAGAATACAGCGGGTTTTGGCTTTGGTTGATTATTCTACGAAAATATATAAAAATATAAAAATATAAATATATAAATATATAAATATATAA